TTGGCTGACTTTGAATGATGATGAAATAACAGAGATGCAATGGGAAGGTTTTTGTCACATGTTGAAACATCAGTTCCTTCCTCAGGTCATGCCATCAGAGTCGGCACCACAGCTGAGTAGAGAGACACAGAACCAGGTGAGTAGCCGTAACTTACATACAAGCTCGAGAGTTTGTCATATAAGCCGAGAGAGCTAGTATGAGAATGGATGAGGCAGTCGTAGCATATGTAGCGAGAGCCTTGACAGATGTACTAGCTCCGAATCGGATCTTTTATCTCAGTGAAGAGGAGCAGTGTCATATCATATGGAGAGGTGTGACAAAAAGTACTAACGTCGACTAGTTCTACGATCGGATCACACCCTCGCACAGTTTATTGCTGAGGCCAAGCAATGTGAACGCCATATGCTAGAGGAGAGGACAGGGCCAGCAGCGGTTAGGCGAGACTTCCTGTTTTTTAATACCCGTATCAGGAGACATGACGCGGAAGCCACTACCTTTTGACAGCGACCAAGACCTGAGATAAAGGCCGCGGATGAGCCTATAGCCATTCGACAGAGATGGACCTATGTTAGGGCCGTCGATGAGGATGCTAGAGGTAACCCGCAATCGGACCCTGAGGAAGACCCCGAGGAGGATCCTGATGAATATCTAAATGATGAGAATTGAGTTAAGACTTAGCGTTATGTTAGTTAAAAATGACGCAAGGTTATGTCAATGGTATTGACTGAAAGGCTTAGAAGCCTTAACTTTTGTGATGTTTTGTATATGATGTGATATGTATGAAATGAGATATGCATAATAGAAGAACATATAGAATGTATGTTTTGCTATTATGAATGTCCTATTTCATACATATCACATCATATGCAAAACATTACAAAAGTTAAGGCTTTTAAGCCTTTCGGTCAATATCATTTACATAACATTGCGTCATATTCAAAGAAATAAAACCCTAAGTCCTAACTCAATTCTCATCATCTAAGTATTCATCAGGATCCTCATTCGGATCCTCCTCAGGGTCTTTCTCTGGATCCTCCTCGAGGTCTTCCTCTGGATCCGATTGAGGGTTATCACTAGCTCTCTCACCAACGGTCCTAACGTAGGCCCATCTTCACCGAACGGCTATAGGATCATCCGCTGCCTATATCTCGGGTCTCGGTCGCTGTCGAGAGGTAGTGGCTTCCGCGTCATGTCTCCTGATACGGGTATTAGAAAACGGGAAGTCTCGCCTAACCGCCGCTGGCCCTGTCCTCTCCTCTAGCATCTGGTGTTCACATTGCTTGACCTCAGCAATAAACTGTGCGAGGGTCTGATCCGATCGTGGAACTAGCCGACGTTGGTACTCTTCCGTCAGACCTCTCCATAGGATCTGACACCGCTCCTCCTCACTTAGATAAAATACCCGATTCGGAGCTTGTACATCTGTCAAGACTCTCGCTATATATGTTACGACTACCTCATCCGTTCTCATACTAGCTCTCTCGGCTTGTATGACAAACTCTCGAACTTGGGTGTAGGTTACGGCTACACTCACCTGGTTCTGTGTCTCTCCACTCAGCTGTGGTGCCGACTCTGATGGCATGATCTGGGGAAGGAATTGATGTTTCAACATGTGGCAAAACCCTTCCCATTGCATCTCTGATATTTCATCCTCATCCAACGCTTGCTAAAAGATTAGGGCATTGCCTTCCATCAGACTCGCTGTTAGCATAATCCACTCCTCTCGAGCTATATCACAGGCTTGCATCACATACTCGACATGGTGCAGCCAATCCTTAATTCTAGTGGGATGTGAGAGTCCATCGTAGAATGGTGGATTACATGTATAGAACTTGGCTGCGGCTCGACCTGTAGTCAAGACGCCTCTCCTTGCTCGGTGTGCAGCCTCGGCCGCCATGGGAACTAGAGCCCTTAATTCCCGATCCATGGGTGGATGGCTATATCTAGCAGGAGTGAGTACCGACCTCTTTGGTTGTCGGAATCGTGAAGGATAAAAATGTTTTTACCCGTCCCCACAGCGTATTCTCTCGTGATGTGGGCGCTAACCGTGATGATAGATGTGATCGATCCATTTGTACCTATTTTGTCTTGCCAAAAGAAATAAACAATTTTCAGTTTAATTTCATAAACTAATTTACCTGGACTATGTAGAAGCATAGGTGTGAGATTGTCATGGCATGAGTAGGAACGCCGGCTCTGATACCAACTATGACGCCTCTCGTCCTAGCGACGGGTCGCCAACTTTACACTACTACTAATAGGCCGAGTTATAGTCTAATCCATTATTTATTACTAGACTAACGTTTCTTTATTTTACACTTATATGCAAGTGAAATTTTTTTTTCTTTCTTTACTTTAACTCTCGGGTTCTTAACATGTTTTTAGCATGTTATGTTATACTAATACTTTTAAGAATTCGGATATGGAACTAGTTCCCGAAAACTTATTTTATTACAGTCCGTTGTTCTTTACTAAGACAATGACTGTAGCGTCTCTTTCTTAAAACTGAATAAACATACTGGTGTTTTATATTACATTACTCTACAGCGGAATTTTTCCTAAGCGGGCGTAGTAGACACCACTCTCATGTTCTCATGACATATCCGTCACTTTGCGTCGGCCAGTCCATCAAGCAACACTACTGTCTAACTGGCTGGTTACCTGCACACGAGTAAACTGATGAGCTAACGCTCAACAAATATAAACATGCACACATCATAAACTAGTAAAACTACATTAAGAGTTATGATGCAAATATGTTCATGTGAAACATACTTTAAACTGCTTTTTGTCTTTCTGTTCTTACTACTGTGGACCTGGGCCCATGCTTACTGTCTGGTCTAGTCGGAATCTCAACTCTTTGAGATTTTCTCCCTTGAGAGGCCAACGACCCGTCAGTCTCTTTACATTACTGAACTTTGAGTTTGCATTTCAAAGTGTTAAAAATGTTACTTAATGATATGCAACGTTTTTTTTTTTTTTTTACATGCACATGCTAACATAAAATGCATAATACTTCGTGCATACCTTAAACTGAGCATTAGGGTAACCACATGTCGCCCTTCTGCAATCTAGGACACTAAGCCCTCCAAACACTTAATATCACATAGACTTAGATATTAAGCAAATTCATAATTTTAAGTCTAACTACGGTTTACTCAAGTCGAGATAAACATATATGTCTATACTTACAGATAATCTGCTAATATCCCTTCTTGCTGGAAGTTCTTTCTTGTTGCTTCGGTTCTCGTGTCAAAACCTGTTTCATGGAAATAGGCATTAACTTCCTATTCCAAATTAAAATTCTTCATACTTAGATTCTTAAATCTAATTTCAAACTCATTTCTGAACCTTTTTCCTCTAAGCCAAATTTCTAGCTTAGGAGGCAATTTTCACAAATCTGTGTGTCACGGTTTTTGAACCTCCATCTATTCATTCTCGAGCCTTTAAAACTGTTATTCATTCTCAAGAATCGAATTCCTAACTCATTGCTTACTAACTAGATTTTAGGAAATTTCGGCAGAGTTTCGCCTTGTTTTACTCGTTTTCCGAACTTTCAATAGTTCGTTCTACTCCGATTTCGGTACCTAGAGTCAAGATTCATATTGCTAAACACAAATCCCAACATAAAATTGAACAAAAACACATGTTCACCATTTTCTAAGGTTTCGGATTTTTTTAGTGTAAATCCAAAAATTTTGTGCAATCTTTTTAAAACTTACACCGTTAGACTCCTATCACAGTCCCTTACAAAACTTCAGTTTCGATTTTTAGTTTTACAGAATTTTTCCGAGATGAGTTACTATTCATCCGTAATGAAAAACATGAAATTTCTCATGAAAAATCTGAAATCTTACCTCTAGAAGTTGAGATTTTCCTCTAGAACGCATCGGGTTATGTTTCTACCGGACTGAACGGAAAAAATTTCAGTGAAAACGGTTGATTCCTTGATTTCCCCTTTGTTCTCTCTTTTTTCTCTCTTGGTCGGCCACACTTAGGAAAAGAAGAACACTTTTTGTCTTCTAATTCCTTCCTAAGCCTTTTAAGAGCACATTTGAATATTTTATTATTATTTCTTATTACTTTCTAAATTAAAAAAATTATTTTAATTCCATAATTTAATTTTACTAATTCTACTTTAGTTTAACACTTAATTTGAGTGGTTCTATGTTCCCCACATTTTTCTTGTGGAGACCTAACTTTTCATTTTTCAAAACGAGTCTCTTTCCGGTACTGATAATCTCACACCCGGTATAGGTTCTGTACTGCTTTTCTGGACTGTCGAGTACTCTTGGTTAAACTTTTCACATTCAACCCAATTCTCTTGGGTATCTCATTAGTCAATTTCTTTTTCTGAAATTTTCATTTTTATTGATTCAGAATTGTCCAAAATGCTTACCCTTACGGTACTGGTTTTTGAGCAGTTTCTCGCTTTAACTGACTCAGAAAAATCCTGTTTCAGGAACTATTGCTATTTTCCTTCTAATATTTCTACTCTTTTTCTAACTGGTCATTTGGTCACATACTAAATATTTCAGTTTTTCATAACTAAAATGTACCTGTTAAAATTTCTAACTTTTAACTGATATTTACAAATTTTCTCTGTAAAAACATTCGTATTATAACTTTACACTTCTAAGGAAATTTTACCCCGTACATAAAGTTTCTACATAATATTTTCTTAATCAAGTCAAAAATTCTACTACTTTCTATTCCGAAAAGAATTATGGTCAAATGCCGGACTGTCCGGATTAGACCTAAAATATTTCCGGTCGTTACAATTATAGAGTTGGAAAGCAATTAGATGCTACAGATGAACACATTCCTGCAGTTTAACGTGAAATGTGTTAATGATTGGGCCATGTAGATTTCTTAGATTGTGAAATATTTGTCACAGATCAAGCTGTGGATCATTTTTAGATTTATAGAATTTTAGTTTTAATTTTGGTTTTGACGATATTCATCTTCTATTGGGATGCTCGCCTGTTCATTCTTTCAGGTATCCTGCTGATCTTTTCAGGAGAGCAAAAATCAATTCCGTTTTGGATTGGCATCACTCTAACTTGCGCCGTGGTGCAGGTTGAATACTCTGCTCTCAAATGATTTTCCTACTTGTCAGATCTCTGTTTTTCCACGGACAAAACTCTGTAGATATTATATTCGACAACATACATCCTCTTCTTCGTCATATTAAAAAAGAAACTACATACAAACGGACTTTTACTCGTATTCCCCTATCTTCTGGCTAATTCTTTTATTTCATTTTTTTTTTTTTTTTCAATCGATGCTTCTATTTCAGTCACATATGTTGTAAATACTGTTCTTGGGCCCGTCCTTGGCCTTCGACCAGATCCACAAGCAGCTGCTGAAGCGGAGAAACTTTTGTCCTCCTCTTTGTCAAAAATAGAGTCCATTTGGCTCAAGGGCAACGGAAAGTTCTTGCTGGGTGGCCTTCAACCTTCCATAGCTGATCTTAGTCTTGCTTGTGAAATTATGCAACTTGAGGTAAATAGATAAGACCAGTCCTTGGGATATTATCTGGTTTCTTTTCTTGGCATAAAATTTTAAGGAGAGAGTTTTGGTTTAGATGCTTAGAACTTTTGACAACTTTTTTGTGTGATAATCAATATTTTATTTCTGAAATGAAATATGAAGAATCAAACATTGAGAAAAAGAAAAAAGCACAGCTAAAAATTGCTAGAGTTTCACTTCTTAGTTGCCCAAGGTAGAAATTTATCTGCTCTTATGAGAAGGAAATCTTTCACGCTCTAATGCGTGTAATTTAAATATTAAAACTGAGGTAAAAATAGGTAAATATCTTGGGAACTTATTGGCAAATTATTTCCTATGTGCTAGTTATTGGATGAGAAGGATCGAATTCGCATACTTGGTCCGCACAAGAAGGTTCAGCAAGCAGTGGGTTGAGAACACTAAGACTGCAACAAGTCCTCGTTTTGACGAAGTTCATAATGTGCTTTTTAAGGCCAAAGCTAGACACCAAGAGCAGCGGGCGAAGTCCGGGTCTAGCTCCAATACAAATCTTCCTTCAAAAATGTGAGAAACGACATTAATCTGTCTCAAGCTACTTAAAGCTGTTTCTACCTACTACATGTAAGTGGCCTGATAGTTGTTACTTAATAAAAATACAATAAGAAGAAAAGCATTTTGTTACTGTAACTCTATTGTTATAGTTAAGCCAAAAAAAAAAAGGAAAAAAACAAAAGACTATCGTTACAATATAAGTTACAACTATATTTCTGGCTCCAATTCCTTCCTTGGTGTTATCTGTATGTTCACACTTCACATATCACCTTATGCCCAGTTAGTCGTTTGTTTCAAACTGTTGAACAAAGAGAATGGAACATAAAATCCGTGTTTGGAATTGATTCCGTTTTTATTTTTCACGTTTTTTAAGAAAGAAAAAATGAAAACGTTTACACAATGACGTTTCGCGTAATAAAAATAAAAAATGAAAATGAAAATGATTTTTTGGTTTAGTGTAAAATGAGAAAGAAATGAAAAATGATTTTTAGTCGTTTTTTATTTTTTATTTTTGTTTTCTCCTCTCATGTGTAGAGAGAGAGAAAGAGATATTAATGAGTTTTTTTACACTGAAAATGATCTTTTTATAAAACTACTAAATGTATTTTTAAAAATAATTTTTGTTCGAGGTTGAAAATATTTTTATTTTTGTTTTTATTTTTATACAAAAAATAAAATCATTTTGAAATGAGTTCTAAACGCGTTTAAAAAGGGACCGTAATATTAAGGGTCATGATGGTACTATTGTTTTAGACGTTGAATTAAAATTTTTATGGTTTGATTTATTAATAGGAACTGTTTTGTAGCATGGGTTATAAATTTTCAATGAATCGGACCATTAAAGAATCAATCTTGTAACAGTAAAAAGTCGCGTTGTTAATATTATGTTGTTCATTTCAAAATTATGGCACATCATTTAATTCTTTTCTGGTACCTAACGCTAGAGAACGATATTTCGTTTAGTAAAAAAATTAATATGACATAGGATACGCTCGTAATTTTCAATGTCGTTTTGTTCGAAATTAAGGCTTGTCGTTATATTCTAATTACAGACGATTCATCGTTTGAAGTTTGAACTTAAAGAAGAGATGTCGTTTGTCTCAAACAGGAAACTACACATTGTTGTTTAACTAAAAAGCTGAGCGCGTTTAGAACTCGTTTTAAAATATTTTTTTTTTTGTGTGAAAATGAAAATAAAAACGTTTTCAATCTCATACAGAAATCATTGTTAAAAATGCATTTGGTAGTTTTATCAAGAGATTGTTTTCAATATGAAAAAACTCATTAATGTCTTTATCTCTTTCTCTCTGCTCGAGAGAGGAGAAAATGAAAACAAAAAATAAAAAATGACTTTTAATCGTTTTTCATTTCTCTCTTATTTTACACTAAACTAAAAAATCGTTTTCATTTCTGTTTTTTGTCTGTATAGCGTCAAATGTCATTTTAGAAACGTTTTCATTTTTTCTTTTTTGAAAAACGTGAAAAATAAAAACGGGATTCATTCTAAACACGGATATGTCGTTTAAGTATATTACTCTCATTAATAGAAAACACATAATAAAAGGTGAACTTTTTAATTCTATTCACTTGCAGATTCATGTAATACAGCTTTTATATACATGGCATATCAGTTATTCCTTATTACTCCATGCAAAATTACGTAATTTATATTTCTTCTTAATCAACCAACACATATTGGACAAAAAAAGAAAAGTATATAAAATTAACTTAAAAACTATACGAGTTCCATTACTCAACCATTACTCCTCGTATCTCAAGATTATCCAGCTTTCTTGGTCTCCTGTAGTTCTTCAACAAGAGAGAGCAGCAAACGACACTAACAGAGGAGGCAGCCATTGCAGCCCCAGCTATCCACGGCGGCAACCGGAAGCCGGTGGATGGGAAAAGCGCTCCTGCGGCGATGGGGATGCCGAGGATGTTGTATCCCATGGCCCAAATGTAGTTCAAGCGAATACGAGAGAAGGTTTTTCTGGAGAGATCAATGGCTGTTATCACGTCCTCCAAGTTGCTCTTCATGAGAACTATGTCAGCTGCTTCAATGGCTATGTCTGTGCCTGCTCCGATCGCCATTCCTACGTCCGCCGCCACCAATGCCGGCGAGTCATTGATTCCATCTCCCACCATTGCCACTGTGTAGCCTGAAGCCTGAGAACGAAAGGAAAAAAATAATAATGAAGTTTTGAATAATATCAGTGTTATAAGCAATATTAATAATGATAGCATAGGTGATTAGCACACGAACTTTTTTGTCCAATTGTATGTTGTTTCGTGATTGTGTATCTAACTAGGTTGATCAACAAGAAAATGAAAGGAAAAAGGGTAATTTGTACCAATACACACTGAATTTTTGTTAATTGCAAGTTGGACTTTAAAATTTTTAATTTTAATATCCGGGATCATAAATTTGAGAATTGTTGGAAATACAATCCAATCGATTATGGACATTGGAATGTGATTGGAATTTAAGACAAATGGATAAAAATTTTCTTGATCGCCATTGCCTAATTAATAAGCACGAGTTAAGATACAAACTGAAATCACTGTAAATTACTCGTGTTCTAATTGGAATCTTGTTAAGAGTAATAGGACTGACCTGCAAATCCTTAACTTTCTCAGCTTTCTGCTCAGGTTTGGCCTCTGCAATGACAGTTTCAATCCCAACTTCCTTAGCAATGGACTTGGCAGTACCCCAATTGTCACCAGTCACCATGATGCTCTTGATTTTCATGGATTTTAGAATGGAAATGGCTTCTCGAGCACCCGGTTTCAGCGGATCGGATATGGCCACAACACCGGCCACTTCCCCATCTATGGACACTACAATCCCAGTTTGAGCCATCCCTTCCGCTTCTTCAAGTGCTTCTTCAGCTTCCACTGGAATTGCCAAGTTGTGTTCTATCATTAAGCTCTTGTTGCCCACAATTATTTCCTTGTTCTTGACAAGGGCCTTCACTCCATGCCCAGTGATGGATACAAAGTTTTTTGCTTCTGGCCACACAGGGTTCTCTTCATCTTTTTTCACCTTTTTGCCATACTTAACAATGGCCTTAGCTAGTGGGTGTTCACTGTTCACCTAATATAAGTACTCCCACATTAGAATTGCCAAATATAAGTCAGAACATAAACCTATTTTTGACCAACAATGCTAAGGGCCGGGCACTAGTTGTATTGAGCTTCAAACACCAATAGAAAAGACGGGTCCCATATCATATCTTCTATTAGTTGTACTGAACACTCTTGGTGTCTCCAAACATTTTTCATTTTGACCCACCTCCTAATATATAGCTTAAACTGTAGGCAGATTGGTTAAATTTATATGGTATTAGTGTAAGGGGTCTTGAGTTCAAACCCTTATACTCGCACTCTTTAAAATTATCATCACGTATTAGGCCTTTAATATGTTATGGATTTAAAGTTAATTGAGCTTTTTGGTTGGAATGAATCGTGAATGTGTACCTCGGTTGCAGCAATGAGTTCGTAGAATTCGCGATGGGTCATGTTTTTCAAGATTCTTGTGTTGACAACCACTGGCTTTCCAACTGTGAGAGTCCCCGTCTTGTCAAACACAATGCAGCTAACCTGCAATTTTAGAGCTTATAATTTAGATACATCAAAGCAATACCATATCTAGTTTAACACTGATCAATGTATGAGCAAATATTTTATTTTAGGACCTTATGTGCACTTTCTAATGCTTGGCCTCCTTTGATCAGCACACCTTGGGATGCGCCAACACCGGTACCAACCATAACAGCAGTAGGGGTTGCTAGGCCTAAAGCACAAGGGCAAGCTATGACCACAACCGAAATGCCGAATTGGAGTGCAAGCTCAAAACTGTCCATTGAAGATGGTATCCAAGAATGTGGATAGCTATGCAACTTTCCTGCCAAAAACCAAGCAAGCCAGCTAGTGAATGAAAGTGTGATGACCTGCAATAAGAAAGAAAGGCACTCTTCAAAAAACATATAATACTACCTAAACTAAAATAGTAGGGAAA